AGGGAAAAGGGCGGCCTATAAATAAACTTATTCCTATTCCTATTCCTATGTATATTGAGGTACATGTGGAAACTTTGCTTTTTTTTAATCAGAAAAGTTTGTTGATTTGAACTGTAAGGTTGTTGTAAAAATCATATGTTTGCAGCAATGTTTAAAATAATAAGGTATGCCAGGAGCAAAGAAAGAAGAAAATTATCTCTATATACATTGTATGTTATACAGTTGTACAGTTGGAATCAAACTCTTAACTCCCAACTCTTCTAAGGTTGTACTCCTGAAGCTGTCTGATGGCCAATCAGAAATCTTTTCTGAAAGAAAATGAATAAAAACTAGAAAATAAAACACCCAGCTATGAACTATAAACATTTGGTTCAATTGACATCTTAGCTATAAAATTGCATGCCACAGGCAAAATATTCTCTCAACCCCTATCTCTAATATCAAAATAATATAATAGTACTGGCCCTTTTTACAGGGTTTTGTGTTTTAGTTCTGAGATTATAAAAACTGTATTGCTTGGAATATTGCAGAATGTTTCATAAATTCTGTGTAATATGGTAAAATAAGGCTGTAAAGTAAATTAGAAAAAGCATATTGCTGAGATTAGAGAATACTTTAGATTTTTCATTAATAGGCCACCTTCCACTGTTTTCCAAGCTCAAGAATTATTAGGGCAAAAAAAGCCCTAATAATGAAAAAAGCAAATGTCAGCCATAAAAAATAGACAAGCTGAAATTCAAGGATGCAGTCAAGCTGCTCAATAAATAATGGACCACCATAGATTAATATATATGGCATCAACAATATAAGCAATTTTATAGAAACATCAAAATGAGAAAAGTCTTCTTCTGTCAGAGCAGTTTTCCCTAGTCCAAGATTTTGTGTTCTAGTATAACCAGCCAGATATTCCTGTCAAACTCATAATCCAGCCACAAAGTTAGTGGTGATCTTTTAATTAAGTCACTTGAGTCTCTTTAGTAGCCTAGTAAATTCAATAAAATGTTTGATAATTATACTAGTCCTGAAATTGCATCATATGGTGACCCTAAAGTCCAATAAAGTTTATGATGAGGTTCCTCTTCTAGTTGGTGTCTAAACAAGGTTCCTGAGTCCAAATCCCAGAGCATTAGAATTTTACAGAACTGGGACTTCCTGGGTGACATCACTTTGCAGCAGTTGCAGGGGAGTGAGTCTCTGCTCTCCCTGTCTGATTTTTCATGTCTGGAGGTTAGGGTTCTGCCTTCGTTCCGAAGATTAACACCATCTTCCACAGGGCGCAGGAGGTGATACTTCTGGACTTTTGTCCTCGCCCCAGACACCAGAGAGAGATAACATGGCACAAGTTGGACGTGCGGTGGGCGGTGCGCATCTACATCAAGCGAACCGCTCCTTTCCGTAAGTCGGAGGCCCTGTTTGTTTCCTTTCAACCGGCCTCCATGGGGAAGAAAGTCACGTCCTCCACCATCAGATGCTGGCTCAGAGCAAGCATCAAGATGGCTTACGAGACTGAGGCCAGACCGGTTCGTCTGCGTATCACAGCACATTCTACGAGGAGCGCAGCAACTTCGGCTGCCTGGGCTACTCAAGCACCGATTGAAGAAATTTGCCATGCTGCGACGTGGTCTGGTCCGTCTCCATTCATACGCAACTATAGACTTGACACTTTCGCTTCCGCTGAGGTGGCATTTGGGAGGAGAGTTTTACAGAGAGTCGTGGCAAACACCGCGGCCCCAGACAGTTCTTCTTCCCTCCCGACTTCAACATAGCTTTGGCATGTCCCGTGCTTGGACACTTCAAGCAGCGCCTAGGAGAAAGACAGTTGGCTTACCTGAATGGTCGTTCTCTAGGCGCTGCAGAGTGTCCAAACTCACCCTTAAGGTGGGGCCGCGAGGTGTGTTATTAGCACCTTCATGTCTTGGACTTGGACTCTGACTGGTTCGAGTCATGGACTATTGTTCTTCTTCATTTTTTGAAACTGAGCCTCGAGGCAACCAAGAGGCGAAGCTACAATCAAATTTAAACTCAGTTCCTTGGGCAGCAAGCTGAAGTTAACCCGTGCTTAGACACTCTGCAGCACCTAGAGAACAACCATTCAGGTAAGCCAACGGTCTTTATCACCAGGTGGCATCACTTTGGCATAGACTGTATAAGCCTTTTTACGTGATCTTTGGTGACAATGTGGTGCCAGGCTGCAATAATGGATTCAGTCAGCTCCTGTTTGGTCTTTGGATGTTTCTTGCTTATTTCATAACCAATCTTGGCCCACAAGTTCTCAATTGAGTTCAAATATGGGCTCGCAGCTGGCCAATCCAGGAGTCGAACACCATNCCAGTACTCTTTTCACCATTGAATTTCATTTTATTAGATAGTGCCCAATGTTCAAGTTTGTCAAGATCCTTCTGTATCTTAAGCCTGTCTTCTGAAGTATAGGCTATTCCTCACAGTTTGGTGTTGTCTGCAAATTTGACAAGTTCCCCATTTATTCCTTCATCCAAATCATTGATGAAGATGTTGAAGAGTACTGGGCCTAAAACAGAGCCTTGGGGTACTCCATATTCTTTCTGAACCCTCTATTTACCTCTATATGCTATCTTATAGAGGTATTATACTCTTATAATTTTAACTTACAGGGATTTTTTTCTGTGATTTACCTTATCTTCTTAAAAACATCTCTCATTTTCTTTTTCTTGCTATTTTGTTCTATCCATTGGCATTCTTGATCTATATTTTTCTCTAGAGTTTTGCATAGTTTTCTTCAATCATTCATCGTTCTTTTTGCCCAGGATATTAATTTGTCCTTTTTTTCTAGCTGTTATGATGTTTTGTTCTGAAAACCATTTTATTTTTCTTGCTTCAGTTTTGATGGGATCTTTTATCCTTTTCTAGAGCATCTCAGCTCACTGTTTAATGTTTAAAATTGAATCTGTGTATTTGCTACCAATAATTCTTGATGTGCTGCACAATCTGCATTTAGAAGTGACCTGGTTCATTGAATTATACTCCACTGTTTTATTTTCTATTTTGTAGCCAATTTGGTTTTAGTGTTGTCCATCTATTTTTGTTGCTTGAAGCAGATGCTTGCAAGAAATTATTTTCTTCATAATATTCTATTATCCTATATTCTGACTTAAAAACTTCCTGTATTGTAGTTCCAAATTACTGTATTCTTCAACTTTGGCATCATTATATCCTTTTGAAATGTTATATTTATAACAATCACAATTTGCCATAGAATTCCTCAGTGCATTTTAGCTTTGTTCCTGTAGTTGGGGCATAGACTTTTATAACAGAATCATATGGCTGGAAGGATTTTGAGGGTCTTACAGTCTTCTATAAGGTAGAAGAGCTTATATTCACTCTTAGCCACTAACCTTTAGGTACTATCTTGTCATTTATTGTATTATAGCCATTACATATTTAATGATGATACACATTTCCACTATCATTACTACTTTATTCCTTTTTTAACTACTTAAGCTCACTTATTCTAAGAATATCCATTTAATGTTATTAATTTCTGCTTGAACAAGCAAAAATTGGTTCTTCCTTGGTTTGTGGTTTTCATCTTATTTCCATTTTGTTTAAATACTTTATGTGTAACTTTTCATTTATTTTTTAAGACTTTAAGCAATTTTTCAACATTTATATGTTATTTTGCATGGCTAAAGGCTACTCATACAAAAACCAATTGCTTTAAATTAGTATCTGGGATTTGTAACTCAGATATTGTAAGCATAGCAAGAATTCTTGCTTCATAAATGATTGCATGATATTCAGTATTACAGCTGGCCCTCAAGGTGAAAGAGAAACTTTAAAAAGCAAAGCAACAAACAAATATTTTGCAGAACCTTGCTGATATTTTCTGAGTATTTAAGAGTAGTTGCACTTTCTTTAAATTGATTTCAGTGGTGTGACTTTGGTATATCTCAATTCTTTAATATGTAGGAGAACTTTAACCTGTGAATTAGGTGATGGTTCTATATAGAGTAATCACATCCTAACGAGAGATGGTTTGTTAGGTTATTGGATTATTAGAACCTACTGAGCTCAGTGTGATTCCTCCAGATTTTATTTACTTAATAGGATTAAATCCAATTACTTTTTTCATGAAACAAGAATGTTTTTACATTCTTGAAAATGTACAATAATGTTTTTACATTCTTGTAAAATGTTTGTAGCAGTAGTTTCTTCTTTATCTTAAAATCACTAAAAAGCAGAACTGTAGTCATTTGATTACAAACACCTGAACTCTTGTTTCATTTTGTATGTGTTTTGAATTGTAAGTCATCCCCATCTTCCAAAGTGAAATAAAAAAACCTCTTATGGTATTGAGAGACTAATCTAAATGAAGACCAAGAGGAAGAGAACGAAAAGGGGAATGGGTTAGATTAAAATGAAAGGGTTTTTCATTATATATTTATAAAGAATTGTTGTATTATTTGTATGCAATTTTTTAACATTCACAAATCCTTCTAATAATAATAAACTAAACTTCTAAGTGGTTAATAGGTAAGGTATCGTAGAACAGATAATAGAAAAGAGGTAACATTATGTACATTTGAGAGTTTATTTTAAAGTTTATTTTAAATTACAAATATAGCCATTTTTTCCATTTTCAATAAAAGTTTCACTTTTATTATAAGTGCATATTTAAGTGGAAAATATAAATAAACCAAAATGGTTTCTGTTAATACAGAATAAAATAAAATAACCTAAGAAAAGATGGATACATTTTTCTTGTTGAAACAATGCTGCATAACCTACTGAGGATGGGAGATTTGATTTGTAACAGCCAAAATATTTTCCACTGAAAAGTTCTTCTTTGCGAAGTTCTGTTTAAATAAACAGGATCTGGGCTACTGTTAATTTGGAGTTGAATCTTAGCCCAATCAATTATGACTTGTTTCTTAATTGCAACTCAATTGCAACTAAAAATCTTCAAACTTTTGTAAGCAATACATTTAACAGATAAAGGCTGCTGAACACATGATGTTATATTATGTGAACACATAACACATGATGTTATATTATGAAGCATTTTAGCATTTACATGTGATAATTTGTGATTAACAACAGAATATTTTTAATATATGTTTCTGGTGTGTTTACAACTTAAGCAGAAATACTGTTTAAGTTTCTAACTAGAATAAAATAATACTCTTTTCTTTTGAAAGTCATCTGGTTCAATTTTTCACAATTTTATGGGTTTCTAGCAAAATGTATTTTGTTAAAGAAAAGAATATGTTCTTTTTTTATGACAAGTGTATATTCTCTTGAACTGCTATTGATTATTTCATTTTTTCCAGGTTTTCTTCAGCGGTCATTCCAGGGCTGCATGCAGTTTATTCATGTGGATGATCAATTGGTGGATTTACATGCAATAGAGCGAAGAAAGTTGGGAGGTTTTGCCAATATCAGCATCGATATGTGTGCCATTATTGATCGGTAAGCAGTAAGTAAGGTGGATGATAATTATGTAATAAAATAACTTGGAAATCAGTATTGTTTTTCTAAATTTATTACTTAATTAACTTTTACTTTGGCTAATTACCTTTGCAATAAGCATCAAAAGACTTGTCTATTTAGTAGTGATTCCCAAATGATATATAACAATGAGATCACATCTTTTCAACAACCATCCTTTGCCATCTGGAATAATATCTAATTTCTTAATATGATTCTTTTAGCCATCTTTATGCTTGATCCAACATAATTCATGATAAACAATTATTACCTTGATAGTGGTCCTGGCTGCATAACTTGATAAGATCTCATGAGTGAAGGAATACTCTTGTGTATCAATAAATCAGTACTTTGGTGGAGGGATTTTAAGAACATTGCAAAAAGGTGGTTATGCATCGCCTATAAATATAGTAGGTTGTTTCGTTTGTTATGAAAGTTTCCAAGTATTAAGTTCCATTTGATACTGTGAGTAAAAAATGGTATGAATTTCAGTTACTTGATTTGGCAGTCAGATCAGCTGTTCTTCTGATATTGCTAGCAACATTTTTGGTTTGGAATCATCATACCAATGTATTCTGTATGAATGAACTAAGGTTATGAATGTTGTTTTAAAAATGTGTAAGATTGAACATTTTCACGATATTTAAGAATTGTTTTCTGCTGAAATGTTGTTAACAAATGTTAATGAAAGCACATATTTCTTTCAGTTGAATTTGGAGGTTTTAGGTTAGATGAAACATATGAAGTATTTTGTTGCATTTTTTCACAAAACTACAACACATGCTATCATGGAAGTTACATGGTGGTCAGTGGTCCATATGCTGTTCAGAAAGCAACTGATCTTATATCAGTACCTCTTTTCTTTTCACTGACATACTAAATCTGGGCTGTCATACTTGTGGCCCATGGGCTGGATGTGTCATGCACTGGCCATGCCCACACCCGGTTTAGTGAAGGGGATAAAGTCCTGATACATCACATGATGACCTGAGTTTGATATCTCTGTACTAAATTACCATATTTTTCAGAGTATAAGACGTGCTGGAGTATAAGACGCAGCAAGGTTTTGAAGAGGAAAATTTAAAAAGTTTTTGCACTCTACAAACCTCCCAAAAACAACCTATTTCCCTCCCCCCCAAAAAAGCATAATAGGCTTTAGGGAGCTTGCAGAATGCTCTGGGAGGGTGGGGGGGCCAAAAATGAGCAACAAAGGCCCTCTTTTGCAAAAATGGGCCCATTTTTCCTTTAAAAAAGGGCATGGATCACTTTTAGGAAGCTTATAGAGTGCTCCTGTGGGCTGAGGGGGGTACAATTTCTCATTTCTGCCCTCCCCAGCCCCCCAGGAGCTCTGTAAAAGCTTCCTAGAGGCTATGCACAGCCATTTTAGTGAAGGGATGGGGTTTTGGGAGGCAAAAATGCTGTATTCAGTGGATAAGATGCACCCAGATTTTCAGCCTCTTTTTGAGGGGAAAAAGGTGCATCTTATACTCCAAAAAATACAGTAATCCCTTCGATTCTGTTCCCTTTCCCAAAAGCAGATAATTTGATGCTGCTAATAGGGGATAGAGCAAGGAGTGTGGTATAAGTACAGAGGATCTGGGGTTCTTATGGACTTGTGGGAACCTGTCAGGAATGTTAAAAAGGAGGACCATATGACTGCAGCTTATCATTGCAGCACAAAAAAAAAATTGCCATATGGTGCACCATTTCACCCAACCTAAAGTGTTACGGACAGGAGAGTTTTATGTAGGTCTGAGGGGTAATGAGATCATACCCCTGTCGTGGTCAGACCACTGCCTACTGAGGCTTGACTTCCGGAG